ATGTGTTTAGAATAAATTAAGGTCCATTGTGTCCCAAAATGGCTAATTTTGTGTATCTAAAAAAAAACAAAGAAAGAAAATAGAAACTGGACCTTGTAAGTGTCCCAAATCATCCAAAGTCCGGAGGCTTTCTTTTTACAGTTCCTGGTTTACAGGCATCTCCCCACATGTAACAAGTGAGCAGAGACCCACTTTAACCACTGTTCATTTCTGAGTATTACACACACTTAGTTTAAAATCTGCCCCACCTAATCCTGAAAGCAGAGACTCTGTTCTGCCTTTCCAGCTTGAAGTGTTTTGCGTGGCTTCCTTTTTGTGGGTTGTTTACCACGCAATCACAAAAGAAAAAGAAGCATTCAAGGAGCTATCACTCTCCAGTGCATTATTTCCAATATTATTATATTTTGAAGCATATTTTTATTTTGTTCCATATTTATGTACATTACAAATTATAGAATTATGTGTTGCATATATTTACTTCACATATTTTGAATATTTCATAAGTAGATCTTTTGAGCTTGGGCTTATTTTTAAAAGTGATTTTTTATATCAACACTCCTTCACATAAATAGGGTATATGTGTCAATCTACACCAAAATATATTCATGATGGTATCATTTTATCAAAGTCCCAATAGTGTAATACCAGGAGTAAGCACATGTTTCAAGACACTGTTTCAACTGGTGCATGACACACTGGCATACAAATAGACAAAACATCCAACAATAAAAGAAAACAAATTAAGGAGAAAAATCTCTCAAAAAAGAACAAGATACTGTTTGCTAAACTGAATTTCAGGTCTTGCTCTCAATTGTTCATAGAGTCAGTCAGGACCTGTTTGCCTGAGTGAGAGAGAAACTTATCTAAATCCATTGATCTTATATCTCCTTTAGAGTTCCCACAGGCTGCTGCTTTGTCTTAATGTACTCTGAAATGTGTAGCATCATTGTATGCATTAAGGTGCACTCCACCAGATGGCATTTGATGGCTCTGTTCCTCCGTAACCTGACAGAATACTGTTTATAGACTTGCTTATTTTTCAAAATTCCTTTCTACACTCCAAGAACATTGCTTACTTGAATATTTTTGAGAATTTTTGTGCCCCTGAAATGTTTATATGTATGCATATAATGACAATTGCTTTTTTAAAAAAGGTATGCCATGAATTTGAAAGAGAGCAAGAAAGGGCTTATGGGGGGATTCATAGGAAGGGAAGGGAAGGGGTAGTTATGTAATTAATGTAAGCTTGAAAATAAAAGGAAAAGAAGACAGTAATTCATAATAGATTAATCAAGTCATCTGGTTGAATTGACTATAAATTTACTTTTTGTTTTTCAAGGAATAATTAAAGAAAAAATTAGATTAAGTAGAGCCATTAAATTGAACACATATCAGCAAACTGATAGCAAAATACTGTCTGTCCAAAATCAGCATCATTCAGTCATTTAACTTGAGGTCAGTGGCCAAGCAAACACCAGTCATTGTCTTCTGAGTAGCAGGCTAACAAGCTCATAGGTCTTCCCCACACCCACGGGTGTGTTCTGCCTCTCTCACCATCCCACTACTGCCTGGATTGCTCTACACAGTCCTGCATCTCTCCTACCCCATATTCAAGCAAGTGTTGGAGTTTCACACACTCAGTAATGCTTTCCTGATCACTAATTTGTGAAGGGAGAATTTGCCATCATCTCTATATATTATTCCTGAATTATTACACAATGATCTGAAAATTCTGCATTCATATCAGCTATTCTGTTTGCACTTTGCTCCCTGGTGTTGTGTAAGCTGAGCAGGCAGAGGTTTTTCTGTGCTGTTCATACCTGAGCATCCAGGGATGACATAGATGGGAAGCCAAATAAATATAAGGCTAATTAAGGAGGGGAGATGGTACTCATTATTTATCTCTTTTAAATGTAGGTATCTTGCCTCAGGATAGATGACAGCCAGGGACTAACCTGGCAGTTGATTCCAGAGCCTCCTAGTGGATTCTAAGTCAAGCCAAGATATGGCACTTTTGTTATATATTTGTTTTATTATTTGTTATTTATAATTGATATTGTACTATTCAAACTCTTGAAAAAGAGGCTCATTTTTCACTGGACTTGTGTAAAATAAATAAATTAGAAATATATTTTGCAGTAAGGAGGAGTGATTTCTACTTGTTACATGAAAATAATGTATGATATGACTAAACTTTACTTTTCCAAGAAAAAAACACTCATTATCTCAAGATTTAAAAAGATACTACTTTCAATTAAGTAGAGTCCAAAGTACTCTGGTTGAAATGAAGGTAGAAATAATAGCATAATTGAAATCTTCTGCATTTTTTATTTACCAATAAAATTCTTATTAACCTCCAATAAAACTGTAATTATCTAACACCACAAAAGAATGTTGCAAATAAAGTTGTACTGTATCCACAGATCCTTCATTCCCACTACCACAAATTATAGTAGTTCCTGCATGTTAAAAGATTCATGGGCCAGCCAGTTGAGATGGTTCAGTGACTAAGTGTGCTGCCACCATGTCTGATGAATGGAGTTAGATATCCAGGTGTTGGAAGGAGAAAATTGATTCATGCAAGTTGCCCTCTGACTTCCACACTCATGCCTCATCACATGTAACCCTTATTAAATAAATGAATGTTGAAGAGATAAGACTCCATATCCTGAAATGGGGTTGTAGCTTAGCAACAGAGTGATTAGCAGGCAGAGGGCCCTGGGTTCCATTTACAACAGTGCAAACAAAGATTGGAAATTAATCAAGACTTAATGATGGTTTACACAGAATCCCTGTTTCTGAAGCTATACCCTTGCACTTCTGAAAGCTTGATAACTTTTTCCAGAAAGAAAAAAAATAAAAGAAGGTGAATAGCAAACAATAGAAAAAAAAACAAAAATTCTCAGATATAAAGCAATGAGCAAACAGAAAGTTCTTGGTAACAAGGACAACAGAACAAGTGACAAACAGAAAACAAAAACGAATAGCCACTGAATAATTCCTTTCTTACTTTATGAGATTTGTTGTAATTAACTTTACAAAATTGAGAATTGTGTATCTAGATTTAATAGAGTGTTTCCCAGATTTTCCTTATACTTTCCTATTTGTGTTTAATTTTCTTTCTGTGTATGTACATATGTCATAACAATTACCTGAAGGAATAATGTTTGGACCTGGAAACAATTATTATTTTGTTACACTAACTGAAAACTGATCATTGTGAGGGTATAAGAGTAATACCTTGTCTTGTGGCTATCTACCTCTATACCTGAAGTAAGTGTATGGTAAGGAAGAAGCTTGTCATGGTCAAGCATTTCAAAAACAGCAAGTACAACTTGCCAATGGGTTGGGTTAGGAGTTAGGTGAAAGTATGTGAACGATGTCAGCCTGAGAAATCTAGAGGATGCAAGACATAGGCTAATGGATGGAAGATGGGGAGAAAGGTGAGATGAGGAATGAAGACTTTGGTCCTTTCTGAGATGTTGAGGCAATGAGTGTATCAGGTTCTTTTTATTAGTATTACATTTACTCATTTGTGTGTATACTGGGTAGTATGGTCATCCACATTCTATAGTGCATGTAGAAGGGTCAGTGGACAATTGCAAGCATCAGTTATCTCTTTGCACAATGTAGGTTCTGGGCAGTGTGTGCTCTGTAACAAAGATTTGCTGGCCCAACATTAGATTCTTGTTGGTTTCATGAATGAGACAGGTGCAGGATAACATGTCACAGAGAGGAACTGGCAGATTAGACAGAATCTCATAATATGGGATATAGTAGTTTATTACGAGGTGAAGTGTAATTATCCAGATGTCACTGGAGTCTGGGAACACATTGTCCTGGAGAAGTTTCTAGCTATGGCTGCACTTCCATGGAGGGATGTTGCATAGTCGGGCCCTGTAGCACATCAGACAGATTGACCTGCCAATAGCGATGGCTTTACAGTCCAGTGGGGCATGGAATGTATACTGGACTGTGAGTGTCTGGTACACTTAATATCCTACTGCAGGATGTCCAATGGTCACCCCATTTCTGAGTCCTCCAACTCCAAAGTGCTAATAGCCTCCAGGGCACAGTCTGGTAACATGGTCAGTAACAAACAAGAGCTTATCTTACCCAAGGGACAGGCTGTATCTGAACAGAGACCCACAGATAAAATTCATCTCACCCCATGGATAATCCTCTCATCCTAAGATAAGATCAGAAAAGTCCCTTGACATCCTTCACACAGCATTGAGATTCCATTGTCCATCCATGACTTCCCTTTGATATTCCTCAGGCAACCACCAGAGTCCCCTTTCCATCCATGACTTCTTTGGGGAATTCTATCGCTCTTTGGAAAATGAAAGTATTAAATATTTTTAGTGGACAAACATAGACCTCTTCCCAAATGCTTATGTCTGTGTTTTGGAAGAGAGAAACACAGAACTCACTGTGAAAAGATGTGGGACTTTAATTCCAGACTAAGGTTATGGAAGGAGAAAACAACACCAACAACAAAACAGTTAAACTTACTGAAAATTTACAATATTCTAAATATCAGTTTTGATATAGTGTCTCAATTTAGATCTCTCAACTCCCATTACAACTTGTGTCATAGTCCTCTTTTTTATGAGCAAAGAAATTGAGAAATAGCTGCATAGCTGGTAAGTGTAGTCTAACTTTGAATTTAAGACTTTTAATCAGAATTGTTTTATAGATATGCATATTATCTTGATATGTTTCGACAAGGTGAAAGTGTTTAAATAATATGTTGACATCTTAACCAATTAGGTAGGTAATATCTAATGTATAGGTGCCTGAAAATAAAATAGTTAATTTTATTAACTTTCATCATTACTACACCCCCATAAAATTCTCCAAACTGTCAAAAATGTCAAGATTCAGTATAAAATTCTTTATTCACTCATTGACATCGGACCACACTTTAATCTTTTACACTAATAGTTTAAGCACTCTGGAATTAGTTGGTAATTGAATTATGTTTTTTTTCTCTGAAGGCAACTGACCGAGAGGGAGACCCAATCACATATGCCATCGAGAATGGAGACCCTCAGCGAGTTTTTAATCTTTCAGAAACGTAAGTTACAAGGAAATGATTTATACCTGATTGCCCCCTGTTAATGTCAAACAACATGCTGTTAGCAGGAGGACAGACTTTCAGCTGTTCGTAGTTTTATTTTACATTTTTCCTATGAATGTTAATAAGCACTGTGGGTAATTCTAAACACAAAACCTCTCCCGGGAGACTATTTGTTTATCTTAAACAATTTTATCAAGTAAAATCCACTGAGGTGGAAAAAATTTCACTTGCAGGCAAAGCCTTGGACTAATTAGGTGCCTGTAAAGTTGTCGGTTGCTCATAGGGACTAGGGCATTTCTACAAAGAGTGCAGCACTAAGTTGTTCATTCAAAGGGAGGCTTGGCAACCACATGTGTTACATTGCATCTAAGATGAAATAAAATCACAGCACCTTCTTTGTCTATCTGCTCTCAATATATTAGTATACTCAGGTCATAGCTATTGGAATGGGTGATAGCATTTGAGAAGATGGTCAATGTGTAGAAACCACGGACTTCTACTCTGCACTGCTGTGGCATTGAGATTGGGGTTCCTTCTAAAAAGCAGAATTGATGTTCTACATCAATTGCCAGGTCTTCTCTCACTGAATAAAGAGAGAGGTAACTTATCTATCATTGCACTAGGATAGCCACTGCCTCTGTCTCTAGAACCTGTGGTTCTTAATCAAGCCGACCATGTGTGGATCTGTTAATCTTATGACAAACAGAACTTAACATAATTGGATTTTATGAGAAAAGGTCAAGTCATTTTAGAAAGCCTTAGGTAGAAAGTAACAGTTTTTTTTTCCTGCCTTTCTGGATTTAATTTCTACTTAACAATAGAAAATCTTATCTATTTGAAATTTCCTCCAAAGGTACTTTAAGATCATAAATTGGCCACAGTTTGTAATTTCTATTAAAAATAAAACTATGTAAAAGGCTATTTGTTGAAACTGTAGTCATGCTAGGGTAAAAATCTAAATCTAGACTGACATAGAGTTACAGATAAAGAAACACTCCTAACACTTGTGAAACAGGGCCAGAATCTATCCTATCAACAATAAGTTGTCCTTTTAGCTGGTGAGTTTTGGACACAAAGAGAAAGAATGAAGTCGATCTTAACACCACTTTTAAAAATTAACTGAAAGGCGGGGCGGTGGTGGTGCACACCTTTAATCCCAGCACTTGGGAGGCAGAGGCAGGCGGATCTCTGTGAGTTTGAGGCCAGGCCAAAACAATACTGAGAAACCCTGTCTCATAAAACCAAAAAAATTTAAATTAAATTAAATTAACTGAAAATAGGTTGCAAATCTAAATAGAAGAAAGAAAACTTCAGAACTCTTAGAAGAAAAATTTTATGATGTACATAAATTAGGCCATGTAATATCCATATATATAGCACAAAATCCACAAATTATTGATAGGAAAGTATATTCCACAGATTTAAAAAAGAAATATGTTTCAAGAAGCACCGGTATTGAAATGAAAGGTCACCTACACACTTAAATAAAATGCTTTAAGTTATGGATATTATAAAAACCACATATCAAAAATGTATAAAGACCCAAAAGTAAAAGAAGAAAGTATCTGATTAAAAATAGGCAAAGATTTCAGGAGACACCCATTATTATTTCATCACCCCCGCCCCCTCTGGATAAGTGATAACCAATGAGGATGTGGAAATGTAGTTTCTTTCATTCAGCAAATGCTATCTAAAGCTGTGGAAATGAAGGAGGAGTTCACATTCAGATAAAAAAGGTATATGAAGAACAAGCAAGAGTCAGAATATGGGGACAGGGAGCCCTCATGGGTTTCTATGTAGAATGCATGCTTAGAAAAGCTGAAAATTTTCTCGATGTGTTATAATATGTCCATATAACTAAGGCATTATCTTCATGTCTGCTCAGCAGAATTAAAGTCATTTCTAAGTATAAAACATGTGAAATAATGTTCACTGCTAACATATGTATGAACAGAGTGGGACATACTTATACATAACTATCCATAATGTATAAACAGTGTTATTTATCTATGTAATGGTTTATTATTCATTGATAAAAGGGAATGAATAACTGAGATATGATTCGGTAAGGACATACCTCACAAACACATTTCTAAGTGACACAGTATAATAAATCCAAAGTTATATAATTCTATTTCCATTTATTTGGAGTATACAGATTAGGCAGGAATGCAGGCATGCACACACACGCGCACACACACACACACACACACACACATACACACACACACACACACACACACACACACACACACACACACATGAACATGACTCCTGATAACAAGAACCAGGAGAAGATGAGCATGAACCATCTAGCATGTAAACGTGTGTCTGGCTCCTTTTATGTTTCTATTTGGCAGACATATCTGCTCCCCCTTGCTTTATATCTCTGCACACTATTACACTATATACACATAAACTACATGTGTTCAGTCTTTCCCTAATGAGTATTTGGATTATATTTATTCCTTTTGGTTACTGACACTGTGATGAATATACATGTATATACGTATGTCTAAGCACATGATTTGGGTTTTGTTTGTTTTGACTATATACTCAGAAGTAGAATTGCTAGGGAGTACTATAAATTGCTACCAAAATTATTTAAGTGACTGTTAAATGCTTTCACGAGGGTCTGAATCATTTTATATTCTCACCACCAAATTACAAGATTTCCTAAACTATTTTTCATTGTCACTGGCAATATAAAAGGACTGTAACTCCCCCATAATGTTGCCAATACTTAGTATCAAGTGTTTTCTCTGTTTTTTCTTCTTTGGTTATAACTGTAAGTAGGTATGAAGGGGTAGTTCTGAGTGGCCTTTATATTTCCTACAAGAGTATATGATAATGTTGAACACCTCTCCACGATCCCTTTCTCTACACACTTTCTTTGGGACAACATGTGCTCTGATCCTTTGTGATGCTTTGGCTGTTTCCCCCTTGGTTAGTTGCATGAGTCCCTAATAGTTCTGAAGCCACATGCTGCCTGGATATAGAATTTGAAATCACTTTCTTCTGCTTTATCAACTTCTCACTTCACTGATAGAGCTTTTGATGCAAAACTCCAATGGAACTACACTTCCTATGGCTTCATATATATTGCTGAATCCAAGTTATAAATATTGTTCCTGATGTGGCCATATGATGCTCTTTTGGTCTTATTTCCTATCATTATATAATTAATACATTTGAGTTAATTATTGCAGACACTTATGTAATATCCTTTAGACTACTGCATGTAGATTTGTTTTCACATCATAAAATTCATTTGATACTTTTTTTCCTGTTGAGTGCTTTTGACACCTTTGTTGAAACTTTACTGTGGATATAATCCATTCTGGAACCTCAGCTTTGTACACTGGATGTTCCAATCCACTTGGAAACTCTCACATCACCCTGAAATGGTGTACTGGGCTTTTATCCTAGGATCTTGAGGACAGGATGTGCTCTGCCTCACATTTTAGGCTCTTTCTTTCCTTCAGTGGTTTTAAAGGGTGACCAGCATTTTACTTCCTTAAGTGAGTCCTAAGTTCAAGTGAGGAAAGTGCTATATATAATATTTTTTACAGCAGTTGGCAACCTTCAAATAAGACAGCTACAAGTCCTTGTGAAAAGTTATAGTTGTGTCCCTCAATAACAGAGACCAGAGCATGAATTCTCTTTACACTCTCAAGATCAGTGTTTCTTAACCTTCCTAATGTTGTGGCCCTTTAATACAGTTCCTCATACTGTGGTGACCCCCCACCATAAGATTACTTTTGTTGCTACTTCATAATTGTAATTTTGCTACTGTTATGAATTATGTGATATGCAGGGCATCTGATAAGCAACCCCTGTGAAATGGTCATTTGAACCCCCAAAGAGGTCATGGCTTATAGGTTGAAAATGGCTGCTCAAGACCAAAATGTGAGCCAGGAGTAGAAACAAACAAACAAAATCACTCCAATGCTCTCCCAGGGTTCTTAATTTTTTTCTATGTTGTGTCTTCATTTGGGTTCTGTAAGTTATCTGACAATTTTTCAGAGTCCCATCCAATGTGGGTCTGACTCTGGCTGCTTGAAGCTTTGATGGTCTGTGGAGTGTAGGCAGAGTTTTTTTGTTGAGACCGCCATTCATCTCTGCCCCCCAACAGCCACTCCCAAATAACCAGACTTTTTAATTATAAAGGCTCAGCCAATAGCTTAGGCTGGTCACTAACTAGCTTTTACCTTAAAGTGACCCATATTTAGTCTATATTCTACCATGTGGCTCAGTACCCTTATCTCAGTATACTGCATGTTCATCTCCTGCTCCATCTTTGTCTCCTTGAGACTCTTCAGACTTCACCCTTATCCTTCCCAGAATTCTCTTTGCCCCCAAAATCCTGGGGGCCATTGGCCAGTCAGCTCTTTATAAACCAATGAGAGTATACAAAAGGATTATTCCATAGATTCTGTCTTGGAATTGCCTCTTTCACCACTGTAAAGAGAAGCCTTCCCGCCCGCCTGGTTCCAGAGCTGCATCAGTCCCAAATAAACACACAGGAGGCTATATTAATTATGAAGCTGTTGGCCTTGCTTGTTTCTTACTGGCTAGCTCTGACTTAAGTATTTATCCCATAATTGCTAATCTAAGTATTTCTCTTACCGGAGAGGTTTCCGGGCTTCCTACCCCATGATGTTACATCTTACTTTATTGACATATGCACAGGACTTCCCCCATCACACCACCCCCTCTGCCTTTACTTCTGAGACGCGTTTTTAGTTCTACAAAACTTAAGCAACACTATTGATGGCTTTTTATCAGAAGCAATACTCATGTGACATGCAGAGAATGCTTAGTTTTGCACTCCTGATGCAGACAGTGTTTCCTGCCTCATGGCCCCCACCAGTTGGTGGGGATGTTCCTCAGGCCAGCTTTACCAAGAGAGATGTTCACATTGTCCATTGACTTATCTTTCAGGTCTGAATACTCAAAGACAGTATCTACAGTTCACTCACCATGCCCAATATTCCTCCACAGTCAACTGCCCCAATCATTGAGTCAAAAGGCATATAATGAACTATCTCCATCATAACCCTATAAATAAGAAAAGATAGATTTATGTAAAACCTAGCACAAAACAGAAAGTCAAGTCACTTTCTAAGTTCATGCCCAAGGAGAGTTACAGAGGAGGAATGAAGGACTGTAACAACCCAAAGCAGAGCAAGGCAAGAAACAATTCATTTTCTCCTCATTGTACCGCACCTACGTTGACAGATTTCCTATTTCTTAAGTTGCTTGTAAGTATGTCTGAAAAGCCAAAACCGCCTTCCTTTTCTCTTTGAATGTTATCACAGGATGAGATTTCCTGAGGCATCTGCGACGTAGAGAGTTGATACAAACCCAATTATTATGTGTTATGAGAAACCTTTTCCTTGAGAGGAGCCTTCCTGCCCGCCTGGTTCCAGATCCGCATCAGTCCCAAATAAACACACAGGAGGCTATATGAATTATGAAGCTGTTGGCCTTGCTTGTCTCTTACTGGCTAGCTCTGACTTAAGTAATTACCCCATAATTGTTAATCTAAGTATGTTTCTTACCAGAGAATAGTTTCAGGCTTCCTACCCCCATGGCGTTACATGTTGACTCTCTTGTGTTTCTCCTTCCCAGAATCCTCCTGGACTCCTAGCCCCACCTATCTAGATTTCTATAGGCTCAACAGTACTTTATTGACAAATAACAGACAAATAACAGGACTTCCCCAACAATTATGAATGTGCCCTGGAAGTGGTTTTCAGTTATTTGGACCAAACAGTGTTCAGTCAGTGTTTCACAGTACTGCCATATACTCTGAGAGCTTGCAAAGTCTGCATCATCAACAACAAAATCAACCAAATGAGCTACTGTGTCCTTGAATTTCATTTTTCCCCCTTGACTCTGTTTTCACTGCCCCTTGCAGTGAGTATCAGATAAATTCCACTCTCAGAATCAGGACATTTAAATTAAAATGAAGCCTATTTTTCAATTAAAAGCAAACTAGGTTTTCATATTTGATTAATATCTCTGTTTATTTGTTCATCTACAGTGGGTTCAGGATGGATATGTCATTCGTAGCATCCAGTGTAAAACCCAAAAAGATATTCTGAAATGATTTTGGAGGCCAAATTGTTATAAATATCGCACTAGAGAAATGCATACAGAAGGGGCATTTATTCTGGATATTAGGGGGTAGAATTAAATAATTCTAAGGATGAGAAATTATTCAAGTATTATTTGTAACTTATTTTATTTAGATTAAGAGTCACTCCAAATTTCATAAAAATAAGCAAATGATATGGTTTCTAGTATATGCAGAAGTATATATTTAAATATTATTAAATGAGCACATGAATACCAATTATAATTTTCTTCTCAATATATGTTTTTATTTAAATTAGAAGCATGAATGCTTCACTTGTCAATCCCAGCTCCCTCTCCCACCACTCCTCCCTTGTCCCTCTACCAGTCTCCCTCCAGCCCCCCACCCAGTCGCCATATCATTTCCCAGGGAGGGTGAGGCCCTCCTTGGGGGGATTTCCAGAGTCTGTCATTTCATCCAGGGCAGGACCTAGGCCCTTTCCCATGTGTCCAGGCTGAGACAGCATCCCTCTATGTGGAATGGGCTCCCAATTCATTTGTACACCATGGTAAACACTGATCTACTATGCAAGGCCCCAGAGATGTCTGAGGCCTTCTCCCTGACACTACATTCATGGAGTCTAGATCAGTCCCCTGTTGGCCTCTCAGCCATCAGTCTGGGGTCCATGAGCTCCCCTTGTCCTGTCAGCTGTCTTTGTGGGTTTTACTAGCACAGTTTTGACCCCTTTGCTCATCACTCCTCTCTCTGTCACTGGGTTCCAGGAGTTCAGTTCAGTGTTTAGCTGTGGGTATCTGTCTCTGCTCCCATCAGTCACTGAATGAAGGTTCTAGGATGGCATATGAGGTAGTCTTCAACCTTATCATCAAGGAGAGGCCATTAATGTAGTCTTTCTATTATTGCTTAGTTTGCCAGTTGGTGTTATCCTTGCAGATCTCTGGAAATATCACTAGTGTCAGCTCTCTCCTCAAACCTATAATGACTCCATCTACCATGATCACAGTTATAATTTATTATAAAGAATATAAATATACAGTATGATCCCTTTTGCAGAACAGATATAAATTTAAACACACATATGAAATAAAAAATAAACATTAAATATTTGGCACATTGCAGATCTAATATAATTTTTTAATTATTTGAATTTCTGTAAGTTCTATAAATGGGAAGTGCAAAGGAAAATGAGCTTCATCATAGAACTTGTCGAAGGGAAAGATTTTTTCCCATTTCCATTTTGCATTAAATGGGAAAACCACACATGATATTTGTAAGGGACAATTCCTTGACTGAGAATTACGATGTTACCTGGGAACAGTAGAGTCTTTTACTTTGAAATGATGACACACAAGGTCTGTGTGTCTCTCCCAAGAGTGAATTAACCATAATGATTTTGTTTTCCTTGATTTTTTTCCGAGAGAAGGTAGAGAATCATCTGTGTGATCTTATTCAGGTTTGCAGTTCGCTATTTATTGCTAAGAGTCTCAACAACTTTAAAGAGTCATTTCAGTGTGAGCACTAGAATCACATTTTAATACTCTGTTTATGATTATGGAAAGTAGATAAAAATGATAAAATAGGCCCAATAGCCCCTCTTCTGCTTCATGACATATAGAAGAGAAAACATGCAATTTTTTATTTGTGGGAGGAATAAAAACGGGAGAGGGGACAATCAAAGGTAAAGCTTGAGCATGAGTAAAGACAGACGCAGAAGGACTCATGGGGGTAGGGGGAGGAGAGGGAGGAGGAGAAGGGAGAGGAGAGAGACGTGAACAGGTCTGCAGGGACCCGTACATCTAGTTCAGGAAAAGAACAGCTCACTTGACGCTCTTGTCATTTTGTTTCCCTCTTTGTCTCTAGCACGGGGATTCTCACTCTAGGGAAGGCGCTAGACAGGGAGAGCACGGACCGCTACATCCTCATCGTCACAGCCTCAGATGGCAGGCCTGATGGGGTAAGTGTAATCACAGGGAAGGGTTTCCAAAGCAATGCTCAAGGGAACCAAGGGGTCCCGTATCCCTACACTCTAAAACATGTGTGACAGCACCAGGAGCCTTGTCACTGAGCAAAGAGTTCCTCTCTCAAAGGACTTCCCTAACAGATAGACCCAGGCTTTGAAAGTGTCCTGCTATCTCAGCCTTTGACTTGAGGATACTCGTGATCCACACTCCTGCCATTGTTTCATTGCAACTCATGGATAACCTGAACTCGGATTTTCTCAACCGCTCATTGCTCTGCCTGCGTTAGTCACAAGCAGTGACAGATTAAATCCTGGGGCTTACTTGGTGGAACACCCTTCACTACACCCCCTCATGAAGAGGCAGGAATGAGGCAGATTGACATGCAGAGGAAATTGGGTCAGCTGAGGCCAAGAGGTGTGCATACGGATCACTCAGGGTCTGAGGAAACCTTAATGCTCTCCAGTTTAAGCTGTCTATAATTTTAAGTAGGTAAATTCCATTTCCCATCTTTTTCTAGACGTAATCATCAATTTTAAGAATAAATTTATTTATTTCATCTTTCTGGAAGTTTTTCTATCTGTTTGCTTGTTTTGTTTATTTTCTTTATTTTAATATATGGTGATGGAACCCAGAGCCTAACCTAAGTCTTTACCACAGACCACAATTGCAAGAGTCTAGAATTTAAAATTATTCGTCCATGTTCTTTCAGTCACTTTGCTCAAAGTCTCCACCTCTGATTTCAAAGCTTTGTAGTGTCTTGATCACTGATAATAGTTTAGTCACTATTTTTTGTTTGGGTTTCTATTTTATTACTCCCTCCCCTTCTCTGCATGTGTGTGTATGTGTGTTTGTGTGTGTGTGTATGTGTGTGTGTGTGTGTGTGTATGATGTATGTATACAGATCTGTTTGAGTTCATGTGTGTGCAAATAATTGCACAGGTGCAGGGCAGAGGTCAACCTCAAGCCTTGGCTCAGGAGATGTGCATCTTGTTCTCTGAGACAGGGTTTCTGGTTGGTAACTAGTCTTTAAGGGTAGACTGACTGGACAGCAAGCCTCAGGGATTTGTCTGTCTCAACACCACCAGCATGAACTCACAGACTAAGTCATACTCCCAGGGCCTTTGTTTCATCTCCTTTAGCCAACTTCTTACCTGCCAACTCAACACAGATGCCTAGAAGCAACTTTGAACCCATTAAGTGAATAGGTGTGGGTCATCCAGTTCAACAGTCACATACTCCAGTTGTGACTTCTTGAAATGACTTCTTCGCTCTCTATGGCACCTTGTCTGAATATAAGAGAGTATGTTTCTAATGTTTACATCAGTGGGATTGCTGAGAAAATTTACCAAGATGGAAACATCAAATCAATACTGAAATAATATTAAAGTCTTTATAAAGTTAAGAAGAATAGAGATAATTGACCATTATAATCGTCCAGTAAGAACTACGACATTTTAATGATTTTGATGAGTGCTATGCAGATAATGAAACAGAGTTCAAAGAATATTGAAACATGTATGATTTGTAGCATGCCAATGTTACAGCAATGTGCAGGAGTCAGAATGTCTAGGAGGACCTTGCGACTCGCCAGATGATTAAAGATTACTTAGTGCAGGAAAGGGCAGGTCTACCATGAGCACCAACAAAACAGGTTACATCAAGGAGTGGATTAGTGGGTGGGAGGGAGGGTGCAGGACTGGAGGGAGAACAGGGAGGGATGCTGTAGCCAGAATGTTAAAAAATTCAGAATAAAAGATAGTAATAACAATAATAGAGACTACTGAGTCACCTGACTAGCCAATAACTGAGAGGTGATGTTCCTTGGGAAACAGAGGAGGGACTATTTAAGTAATTATCTAAAGGGTATGATAGGAGTGAAGTGACATTTAGGCCAAGCACGGGTAAAAGAAAAAACAAAGGGTACACATAGTTTTGGGGAGAATCAAAGCACCAGTCAAGAATTAATGGCAGTGACATCACCTAGGATATTTGAGGCATACCCTTAGAAATAAAATGCCTCAGAGAGAAGAGACAAGATGGTGAATAGCCAGCATGTTCACAGTCTGGACCAGATGCTGTCTGCTAAGCTTGGCATTGCTGGTTTATACAAGCCATGTGCTAGAGCTACTCAGTTACAGCAGGGCTTTTTCTGACCTTTGCATGTGGATCTCAGTTCTGCTTTTTGAGTCACAGTGATTCTAGGTTTCTGTTTTCTTATTCTTTTTTATCTTTTTTAAATTGGAAACAAGCTTGTTTTACATGTCAATCCCACTTCCTTCTCCCTCCCCTCCTCCCCTGCTGCCCACCATCCCCCTATCCCTTTCTGCTCCCCAGGGAGGGTGAGGCCTACCACATGGGATCTTCAAAGCCTGTCACGTCATTTGGAACAGGGCCTAGGCCCTTTCCAGTGTGTCTAGGCTGAGAGAGTAACCCTCTATAGGGAATGGGCTCCCAAAGTCCATTCATATACTAGAGGTAAATAACGATCCAGTAACAGATACCCCCATAGATTGCGGAGCCTCCTAATTGACACCCCCATGTTCAGCTTCTCGTTGTTAATTTTAAACAGGAAATTTTTTTTTGCTTAATTTGACTTTCTTATATTTTTTTTCTTTTCTGCTTTCATCCTCAATAATTAAAAAACCTCAGCAAGCTAGCTAACTAAAGTTTATTATAAACATGTAGATTTCATTAATCATCACAGACATAAGTCCTTTCATTTAGCACATATTAATAATTATATTTATTTACCACATATTCATAATTACATTCCTTTAGAGTTGCTCCTTACTTTTGAGCTTGCCAAAGTGTAGCTAGAATAGGTTTCGATGGAATGCCTTGTGTGTGTTGGCATTTAAGCAGTTATACACTATTGAGTGTACCTGTTGTAGTAGCAACTTGTAGGTTCTCAGATTCTTGCTTCCCTTTTCCTTTGAAAGGTTTTATACTTCCTCTGTCCTTTTAAGAAATTTTATGTAACATCTCCTAATTCTCAACTAAGCCCAGACTATCAAAAAAATGGAAAAGAAAAAGACTAAAACAAAACCAAACTAAAGTCTGGACAAACTTTATTCCATGTTCATGGATATAATTTGAATCTTGTGAATTTCTCTTCCTCTCTCCATGAGTAGCCTTCCCTTGTGTAGACTGTGCCTGCCATATCTAGTGTCATATCCAAGTGTCAAGGATGGGGTGAGGAGGGAGACCATGTGCTCTGCCTCCACCACAATCCCCAAATGAACCTCTTCCCTGTCCCATCTTTATAAACGAAGCTCTCCTTTCCTTGTTTTTTTTCCTTGAAAAGTTTCCCAGCTCAACCTCAATGGCAGGAATAATATTTTTTCCAAATCACAGAGGAAATCTCATGTCCTGAATAAGACTCTCCTGGCTCTTGATACAGGAGCTGCTAAAGAAGATTGGCTGCTATAAAGAATATTTTCCATTAACATTCTTTAGGGAGTTGCCCACTGCTGACTTTCTGCTCCCTTATTTTATTTGGCATTAAAAAATCTACCTCTTGTGTAGATGTACCACATTTTCTCTATCCACTCTTCAGGTGAGGGACATCTAGGTTGCTTCCAAGTTCTGGCAATTACAAATAAAGCTGCAATGGAGTACTATTCAGCAGAAAAAAATAATGGAATCATGAGATTCTCAGGCAAATGGATGACACTAGAAGAAACTATCCTGAGTGAGGTAACCCAGTCACAAAAAGAGAAACATGGCATGTACTCTCTCATATATGGATTTTAGACATAGATCTGGGGAGTGCCAGCCTACAATCCTATGGCCAGAGAGTCTGGGAAACAGAAACTTTATTTAGTGGCTGATCGAAGAAGAGGCAGACTCCCTTGGTTAAGTACTGAGCTGAACTCAAGAAAGCCAGTAACAGAGAGGGAGGACTGATGATCAAAGGGATTAAGACTGGGCTGGTTTAACCCCCAGAAACAGCTGACCAGACAAAGGTTAACTCTTGAATCCCAGGCATCAGCCTGGGAATCCAGCATGGGACTGATCAAGACCCCCCTGAATCTGGGTGTCAGTGAAGAGGCCTAGGGAATCTATTGAGCCTTGGGCAGCAGATCAGTACCCATCCCAAGTATACACACAGACTTTGGACTCCCATGGAACAATGTGAGGTGCACTCTCACCCTGAACTCTTGGGGAAGGGTCTAGGCCCTGCCCTATATGAAATGACAGACTATGCACACCCCTATGGAGGGCCTCACCCTCCCTGGGGAAATGAGGGGATAACGGGGGGGGGGGTTGGGGGGAGGGCACGGGAGGAAGGGAGGGAACGGGAGAGGGACCTGGAACTGACTTGTGAAGCAACCTTGTTTCTTATCTCAATTTAAACTGGAAAATAAAATTTAAAAAAAAATCTACCTCTTAAGTCATACATACCATTTTCCCAACCTTTTAAACTCCCATTTTTACAAAAAAATAATTTCTAAAATATGAATAAACTTTATCTTATCCAGATGTGGGGACTGTGGGTTCTATAAGTATCCTTTTTTTTTTTCCTGATCGTTATTGTGGTTCATTGACTGTACAGCTGGGTAAAACTTCCAATTGCTTCCTCCCTTGGTAGCTCGAATAACAACTTCTGATACTGTGACAGTTAGTCTTCCCAGAGGAGGCTTCCAGGTCAGTGCCTGCATTAGGAAGGGAGTATGTGTCCATTTCTCCTTTCAGTTCTAGGATCTCATCAGGTGATGACCTCTGAAGTCACTGTGCATGCTGAGGTCTCTGTGAGTGCATTTTCTTATTCTAGGTTCTGTGTTGAAAGTATGTGCTGTCTCCAGAAATGGGGTATAATTCTCAAGTTTGGAGCACCAACGTAAATGACAATTGTCTATAATTGTTTTTGGAAACTTCTGGTTACCTCCACAATGAACAACTTGAAGGGAGGTTTCCCATTTGTGAAACTGAGAGTTTTGTTAGATAATATATGAGTCTGGGTAGAGGGCTTTATCCCCTAGTGTGGAATTAT